CTGTTATGCTGATGATACTCAGCTCTATATTTCTTCGCGGCCCCGCGAATCATACCAATTTGAAAAAACGAACGCATAGTCGAAAACAAAAAACAAACGAATGCATAGTCGATATAAAAAACTACATCTATACACCTTTCACTTTTTAAGACTAAAACAAATGTTTGAAAGATGGATTCATTGTTATTCTTAATTAAAATCACAACAACAATAAAACAGTAGGCTACAATGAAAAACTATCTTATATAACGTTTATTAACAAAAACGAGGCAAAGACGAGGCATGGCATACGCCACATGCTGTATTATTTATCAACTATTAAATTACAGAAGGTTTAGCAAACACTGAGGAAACAAATAAATGTAAAAAATAAAAGAAAGCCTCCATAGCGTGAGTTAAACAGCTCTCTTCAATAATACGACCACGTCAAATTGTAACTCACACATTTTCAAAAAATTGTCGCATATGCGACCATTTTGGTCACAGTCTAGAGCCCTGCTCCGCATTATATAACTACAGTCTAGATACTGAAAAACATGAGGATCTCACTAGCATGCCAAAGTTTGGAGCCGGTAGAATTTTTGAAAGCAGTCTCTTCTGCTGAGCAAGGCTGCGTTTATTTGATCAAAAATACAGTAAAAATTGTAAAATATTATTGCAATTTAAAATAACTATTTTCTATGTGAATACATTGTAAACTGTAATCTATGTCTGTGATCAAAGCTGAATTTTCAGCATCATTACTCCAGTCTTCAGTAGCTAAGTTTCCATCCAAAGTTACGAATTAAACTTATGCGCAAAATTGGAATATTGCATAAAACATTTCCGAATAAAGCACCGTTTCCATCCAGTGCAAAAACCAGTGCAAAGATTTTCAAATAGTTGTATCTCGGCCAAATATTGTCCTGTCCTAACAAACCATACGTCAATGGAAAGCTTGTTTATTCAACTTTCAGGTGATTCAATTTAAAAAAATCAACCCTTATGACTGGTTTTGAGGTCCAGGGTCACAACCATGACACACAGAGAAGCTTCCCATCATGCACTGTGCTGATCTCAGATCTCTGATCTTCATCTCGTCTCTTTAGCCGCGGCACGTGTTCAGTCTGCTGAAGAAGTACGTCCGCGCCGAGCAGAAGGACCGACAGCACACGCTCAAACACTTCGAACACGTGCGCATGGTCGACCCCAAGAAAGCGGCGCAGATCCGGCCTCAGGTACGAGACATAATCACCTCATTCACAATAATTCATTTGCATTACAGTGTTGAACTTCTGCACTTCTTAAAGCCAACATAAATCAGAATATAAGTCAAAAATGTTTTATTATTTTTTCGGTGAGATTGATGTAATGGAGAGAGACTAATAGTAAACTAATTAACTAAATGAAGTTAGTGTCTGAGGCGATGTCATTGAAATGCTGTTATAGTTTTTATTCATATTTTGAATTCATTCATATTTTTATATTTTTTATTTTCATTTTCATTTTAGTTAAAAGTTTGTGTTTTGTCATTTTATAATTTGTCTTGTTTTTTAAATGTTATTTTAATTTCATTTTAGTTTTAGTTATTTTAGTACATCAAGTTAAACTAAACAGACATGAGAAATATTGCCTGGGCAACTAGCTGAAATGTAATACGTTTAAGATTTAATCTTATTTTATTTCAGTAAAAATTATTGAAAAAACATTTGTTTTTTGTGGTTTTAGTTTTAGTTCACTATAATAGCCCTGATCTATGGAAGTTCTAAGAGGCCATGCATTATTATTTTTTTCCTTCTTGTTTTCTCGTTATCACGACTTAATTTTCTTGTTATCTCGACATAACCAAAGTTGATTTCTCGTTATCACGACTTAAATTTCTCGTTATCTCGACATAACAAAAGTTGTTTTCTCATTATCACAACTTAATTTTCTTGTTATCTCGACATAACAAAAGTTGTTTTCTCGTTATCACGACTTAATTTTCTCGTTATCTCGACATAACATCGACATAAATCTGACATAAAATCACATAAAATCACATAAAATCTGATTTCCAGATTTCCTAAGATCTGGAAATCAGCATTTGTTGTTCCTCTGTCAAAAGGGGGTGATCTTTCCGTAATGGATAATTATAGACCTATATCTAAGCTCTGTATTCTTTCAAAACTTTTGGAAAATCTAGTAAGTAAACAGTTGACACAGTATTTAAATGGTCATAACATTCTGTCTAATAATCAGTCTGGTTTCCGTAAAGGACATAGTACTACTACAGCCACCTTAAAAGTTTTAAATGATATCGTGGAGTCGCTAGATAATAAACAACATTGTGCATGTCTTTTTATTGACTTATCAAAGGCCTTCGATACTGTGGATCACAACATATTATTAGATAGGCTTAGATGGGTAGGACTATCAGAACATGTTATTTTATGGTCTTAATTTTCTCGTTATCTCGACATAACAAAAGTTGTTTTCTCATTATCACGACTTAGTTTTCTTGTTATCTCGACATAACAAAAGTTGATTTCTCGTTATCACGACATAAAAGTTGTTTTCTCGTTATCACGACTTAATTTTCTCGTTATCTCGTTGTTTTCTCGTTATCACAACTTCATTTTCTAGTTATCTCGACGACATAAAAGTTGTTTTCTCGTTATCACAACTAAATTTTCTCGTGAACTCAACATAACAAAAGTTGTTTTCTCGTTATCACGACTTAATTTTCTTGTTATCTCGACATAAAAGTTTTCTCGTGAACTCAACATAACAAAAGTTGTTTTCTCGTTATCACGACTTAATTTTCTCGTTATCTCGACATAACAAAAGTTGTTTTCTCGTTATCACGACTTAATTTTCTCGTTATCTCGACATAACAAAAGTTGTTTTCTCGTTATCACGACTTAATTTTCTCGTTATCTCGACATAACAAAAGTTGTTTTCTCGTTATCACGACTTAATTTTCTCGTTATCTCGACATAACAAAAGTTGTTTTCTCGTTATCACGACTTAATTTTCTCGTTATCTCGACATAACAAAAGTTGTTTTCTCGTTATCACGACTTAATTTTCTCGTTATCTCGACATAACAAAAGTTGTTTTCTCGTTATCACGACTTAATTTTCTCGTTATCTCGACATAACAAAAGTTGTTTTCTCGTTATCACGACTTAATTTTCTCGTTATCTCGACATAACAAAAGTTGTTTTCTCGTTATCACGACTTAATTTTCTCGTTATCTCGACATAACAAAAGTTGTTTTCTCGTTATCACGACTTAATTTTCTCGTTATCTCGACATAACAAAAGTTGTTTTCTCGTTATCACGACTTAATTTTCTCGTTATCTCGACATAACAAAAGTTGTTTTCTCGTTATCACGACTTAATTTTCTCGTTATCTCGACATAACAAAAGTTGTTTTCTCGTTATCACGACTTAATTTTCTCGTTATCTCGACATAAAAGTTGTTTTCTCGTGATCACAACTTAATTTTCTCGTTATCTCGACATAACAAAAGTTGTTTTCTCGTTATCTCAACATAAAAGTTGTTTTCTCGTGAACTCAACATAACAAAAGTTGTTTTCTCGTTATCATGACTTAATTTTCTCGTGATCTCGACAACAATGCGTTTTCCTTATAACAGATTTCTATGGGTAAAACGCAACGTGTTATTAAATGTATTGCGTTTTTATTATGAGCTCATCTGCTTGACTGTATATAGAATGCTTTATTAAGAGTTTGTCTTTCAAAAACCCTGTCTTAAAGCATTAAGCCACATTAAGTGTTTTCCTTAAAACGGTTTTCAATGGAAGGAAACGTTTAATGTAATTAAACGCATTGCATTCTTATTATGGGCTCATCTGCTTGGATGTACATATTATGATTTACTAATAATGTGTATACTGAGTTTGGACTTTTAAAAACACTCTCAATTAACACATTAAGCCACGTTAAGCATTTTAGAATGCTGCGTTTGTTACTATAGCAACAGTAGACTCAAGATGCATTGTGTTTTAAAACAAAACAAACAATCATTGTTCAAAGACCCACTTTTGTCATGTCGAGGTCATGAGAAAATTAAGTCGTGATAACGAGAAAACTTGTGTTATGTCGAGAACGCGGAAAAAATAAGTCGAAAACAACTCATTATGTCGCTATCATGGGAAAACAAGAAATAAAAAAGTGATAATAATGCATGGCCTCTTAGAACTTCCATACTCATCTGAGGTTTGAATACAATATTTGATGTAAATGTTTAATATGGTCTCTCATATATATTTCATTTGAATCAGGATTCCTACTAGTTCTAGATGTTTTTCTGTCATTTTAGCCTGCATGTGTTATTTTTTATTTATTGAGTTTTGTCGAATTATTTGAAGAATACAAGTGTTTATTTTATTTTATTAACCACACTATTACAAACTCTTGTATTCTAAACTACTCAACTAATTCTCACACTCTATTGAAATGGCTTGTGATTTGACTTTGATTTTAAATCAGTCACATGTTCCATTTTATGATGGTGTTGCCTTAGTAGGCTCCATTTGTAGGACATAGACAACAAGCTAGTTCACCAGGTTTTATATGAAGCCTATGAAGATGAGCGATCTTTGGGACTGAAGCAGATTACAGGCTCAGTGACCCTCCCGACCTTTGACCTGTGACCTCTGGCCTCAGGTGCTGACCCATCTGCGTGTGATCGAGGAGCGGATGAATCAGTCTCTTGGTCTGCTGTACAAGGTTCCCGGAGTCACTGAAGACATTCAGGACCAAGTCGGTGAGTTTGTGAGGATGAGTAAAGAAACATGACCGTTGACACCTGCTGA